TTATTACTATTATTACTATTATTACTATTATTACTATTATTACTATTATTACTATTATTATTATTATTATTATTATTATTATTAGAGATGGTTAGGAGGGTAATGGTATCTCGAGTTCACTAGGGATCAAACCTCAAACCTCATGTTTGAAGCTTTGGTATCTTACAAAAGCGGAATATTTTTTAAGTGGGAGGTGACGTTTCTGTCGATAGCAAGGTGTGCTCATAGAAGTATTTGATTCATAGGATTATGATACGTAGATGCATACCTGTGTGTTTATAGTGATGAATGTGTCTACGTGTTTGAGAGTGTCTGTTCTGTACCGTGTTTCTGAAAAAGAGGCCACATTATTATGGAAAACTCTTTTGGTCCGGGTTGTACAGTGTTTCTGAAAAAGAGGCCACATTATTATAGAAAACTCTGTCCATGCGGGCGTCTAACCTCTTAACTTATCGGACCACGAGTCATCTTATCAATTTGGTTGCTATTGCACGACTAAGAGGCTTCACAATTTTTCTTTCAAAAGGCATCTCCGTGGCAAAATCCTAAATAGACGGGCTGAGATTCGATGAGTTTAAATTGGGTGACTTAGGGCGACTAACCTTTTTCTTGAAAAAAGATGCTTTATATTATTTAAAAGATTTAAATATTACATCTAGTCTCTGTATAAATAAGATGCACACGGTCAAACAAAATCCTCTCACACAACCAGGGTCATTGACGTGTGAGCTTAAGCGGCCTAATCGGGTTTACCCATGTCCGTTTAGATTTTTTTTTCTTTGGAGTAATGACCACAAGTCACCTTAAAATCAGTGTTTGTCCCTAAACGTCAGTGATCCTAATTCATCTAACTTAAAGTTAACAAATATGAACATTTGTTTAGCCGACACACTCAACAAATTCTATCATTTAATGGTATCCTAATTTCCCACATCCCAAAATTCAATCATTGATCACGCGTGCGCACGCACGTGTGTATGTGTGTGTGCGTGTGTGTGTGTGTTTAAATGGAATCTGTCGAGATATCTTCCTGCCAATATCCATCCGGAAGCGCATATATTGATGATTCAGATGGTGCATACAAGGAGATTTACCCAAATTCAACCCTCATATCAATAGCGCCTCGTGACTGACACAATTCAGATCTAGCACTTCCACTAGCATCCGCATAATATCGACTCTAAGATGCCACCTTACACAATGTGAATGTGGTGGCATGCACGCTTTGTGGGTGGGTAAGTATCACACCACAATTCCATTACTGATTCGCAACAACAAATATACAACAACTCCGAAGAGTTAAATTTAATGAATGAATACATACATGACTCTTATGACTAAGAGACTAAGATACAACGGAAGCAAAATACACGCTAGAAAGGTAAAGAATACAAATGCATTAAGAAAACTTTGGAAAAAGCAAATGGCGCTCATATATCTGCCTTAGACAAGTGATGCAGGGTGGGACCCTAGGGGCCGATCTTTCACGATTTGGAGGGGATTCCACGAAGAACACGAAGAACATAAGAGAAAAATCACGAGGGGAAACGAAAGGAAACACTCAAATCAATAAGAAACAATCACACATGTGCTAGATCCTTGAAGGCAAAGAGAGATACACGATCCAAAGTTAACAAAGGACGATACAAATGGTAACTAGTTCATCTCCATGAGAAGGTCTTGAGGGGTTTTCCCGTGAGGGGTCTTGAATCCAAGCGTGGATCTTATCCAAAAAGGCCGCGATCTCTCGATGGAGTGTAACCGGATGGATGGATGGATGAGCAAAGCTCTATCTCTAAATGAGCTATCACAATGCTAACCCTAACTAGAGGAAGGGGAAGGAGTATATATAGGCTAGTCCATGAAGGGGTAAGTGAGGAGGGGTGTAGCGACCCGACCTCAAACAGTCAAATCTCTGTGTATAAATGTCATCCCTGGATCGGTAATGCTGACACACACAGTACTTGAAGGATTTATAACAGAGTTCAATCACACACTTATTACATCAAATGTCTCAAAGAGAGTACTTATTACAATAATATGGCCGAAGGCCATCTAATGAAGATAACAGCGGAGGCTTTGAAGGTAAATGAGTCCATCAACTCCAACGACATAACTGAGTGCACGACAACGACCTAGCGACCTTACTCTTCGTCTGAAAGCTCTGCAAAATAATACGTTGCAGCCTGTGTAGGTCAGCACATGGAATATGCTGGCAAGTTAACACTATAGAGCAATGAACAAGTAACAGCTATAACTATATGCATATATGGCTGGTGGAGGCTCTATGGTTAATTTTGCAGAAAGCTAGTTTTTCCCTACAACAAATGAATATATTTTATTTAACTACAAAGTTTGTTGAAAACATTGAGAATGGTAACTCCATTTCAATCCCAAAATTAATAATCATCAACCCAACAATTTAATTAAGTAAAGTGATGAGATCAACATAGTAATTTAAGCACCAGATACTCAAGATGTCCATAACCGGGGACACGGCTAACCATGATTAGTTTATACACTCTGCAGAGGTTTGCGCACTTTTCCTAACAAGACTCGATCTCCTCCGTTGTATTTCTCGCACTACATGATGTTTGAGAAACGGATAACCGAGACACAGTCTTTCCGAAGAGGTCCCCTTAACCGATAGATAGGCCGGTACACCTACAATCCCCTACATCTGCTAGCCCATCATGGAAAGGATTCCCACAACTTACTCAACTATGCCAGAGCCCATAATGGCTTGTGGCTGCACACAAAAGTTTCCAGCATGAATAACATAATGATCCCTTTGAGTATGGGTGTCGAACCATAGGAAAAATCACATGGATACCCCGGGATTCTCCTTTGGACAACATTGGATTTCCCCAGGTGCCCACAAACCAATCCACCCAGATGTGTGTTAAAGTAGCCACCTTAAGTAAAACCCTTAGTTCATAATAATACTCACAACTGTCATGAATCACTCAAACCAAACCATGTCTACGAGCATAGCATAGCAAAGTATAAATAGCGTAACGTAGTAACTCCCAAGGTTTGAATAAAAGGGCAATAGGTACTACCTCAACAACTACTTCCCGAAACCCACATGTTAAAAAGATCCTACTCATGCAGTGTTTGAGGATTGATACTAATGCATAAAAACTGGGTAATGAGGGATATGATCAAAGTGTTACTTGCCCTGCCAACGATCTGAAAACCCTACTGACTCGTAGTAGCACGCTTCACACTCCAGAAAATCTATCATGAACAAACAATAGCATACATAAGCAATGAAGCACAAGATGCAAGGGTAAAGCTCAAATGAGAAGATCCAAACTGAAAGTTCAACTAAAGAGCTTCGATTTGCAAAAAGAAACAACCAAATCAGAGCTACGAAACTCAAACTATGATAAAAAGAAGTTCGAATTCAAATCTGCTTGCAACCAAATTTTAAATTGTCAAAACCATGTTCAAGTTGGTTATCTGGAAAGAGGGGATGGAGACGAAGATTTTGGCGTTGGTTTCACTGGATTTGGACGAACGGGCAAAAAGTTGCGAGAGTTTGAAGATCAGAGACTGATCTGTGACAAAAAATAATCGCGGATAGGTCCCTGGCCGAAAATAAAATAAAAATAAAAACCTATCGAATGAATGTT